GATGTTCAGAAACTGTTATATAAGTGAACGAGCCACAAGTTAGACCCAGTACTCAAGGGGAAGAGTCCAATGAGCGTATTCTAGTCGTGTTTCTTCTATTGTATGTTAATAAAGGTATATCGTGAATAAAAACTTCTGACTCTGGCTGAATGCTAATTTCCTTTTTTTTTTTTTTTTTAAAGTAACTACTGGCACAACCTTGAGAAGGTTGGGGGTGTCCTTTATTTAATGTAATATAGATTGTTTGGCTGGAGGCCCAAATCTTGGTTTCCGTCATCAACTTTATTAAATGAAGTTGTACAGGATTGGATCAGAGGGAGGGATTACAAAAGATTGTATGCTCTGTGATTTGCCCTTAGTAATGGGAAATTCCTGGGTGGAGATATTTATTTAACTTGAATTCATTCACAGGTGAACACTGAACTCGTTTTATCTCCTCTCAACCTTTAAAAATCTTTTCTTGATACCTCTAAAAAACAGTGAAGAAAGATTAGAAACTAGATTGCTTCAACCATAAACTATTTTATGAAGCTAGAACAGGGTTCTGTGCCCCAGCATATCCTTGCGGACTTTTGTTGGGTTTCATAAGTGAATTGTGGTCTTTCGTTATTTCTGGAATTAGAGAAATTGTGACATTGAGAACTTGGTCTGTTACCTGATGATATGTTCAGGACCCCAGACTTTGAGCACATATATAACATATACACTTCAAAATGTAGGTGAGGTAGATTTTAGTATTATGTGTGTTGCCCAGTTTCTCCTTTTCTCCTGCTTAAATTCTGCCTTCCAGATGGTCTTTTGCGACCCTTCCTTGGGAGGCAGTAAAAAAAAAAAAAAAAAAAAAAAATCCCCGTCTATCTACTTGTGTAAGAAATACTGATGCCTGGGTTCCATTCTCCAGAGATTCTGATTTATTGATCCTGAGGTACATTAGGATATTTAAGAGGTGATTTTCATGTGCAGCCAAGGTTCAGAGCTACTGTGTTAGCCAGCATGCTCCTCCATTAATTCTGTATTGAATTATTCCCTTTTGATTTATAAAGTACTATAATCTACTGTAGATAAATATAATCTACATATTTACTGTGTTCTCATTTGAGCCAGTAAAGCAGACAAGCTTCTGCTTTCAGGATTCCTTGTTCTTCATGAATGTTGTGTGTGGGTTTATTATCTTATTTTGTTCTCTTCTTACATGTGTATTTCTTCTCTCTTTTTAAAAAAGATTTTATTTTTAAGTAATCTTTATACCCAGTGTGGGGTTCGAACCCACAGCCTTGAGATCAAGAGTTGCAAGTGCCCCTCACATGGCTATTTCTCTGCAGCTTCATGGCAGGCTGGCATTTTGGTGAGGCCATGTCTCCTCACAGCCACACAAATCAGGTGTTTTAAAAGAGTGTATTTTTTTCTCATCCTTTGAAATCTGTTGCTTTCTATGCCTTTCCAGAGCCTATTAACATTTGTCAAATGTTTGGTAAGACCTTTATAGGGTTGTGGAAAACACTACTCTATGGGAGCTCTAGTTTCTGTTCACTGCTAAGGAATTGTGTGACTAGGCAAGGCCTTACCATTTTATAAAAGGGATATTATTAATCCATCAGAATGCATGTACTAGGAATGGAATGGAATGCTTGCTTCAGCTATGAGATTTGGATTCTCTCATGCTGACATCTCATTCTTCCCAGTATTGGCAATTCCCATTGCCACTTTACGTTCAAATGCAACTTTTGTACCTTTTGTCCTTCAGGTAAGAGAGAGAATGAGAATCGGTAGGTTTTGACAACTGATTGAATGTGAACATTGAGAGAACAAAATGTGTTTTTAGGACCATGCTTTTCAAACTTGCCTGATCCAGAGAACCTCCTGGGACATTTATTAAATGTCACAGTCTCCAGTTAGGACCTCAAGTATCAGTCTCCAGGGACAGGGCCTGGGTGATCATTTTTGTATTTTAAGTAAAGTTTCTGAAGTGATCCTGTAGTTAGACAAAACTGAGAAGTTGCTCTACAGAAAATTGAACATAGTAGGTGGTCAATAAATGAACATGTGTCTTTTCCACTAACCCATTTAATTTTTCTTTTTAAAGCTTTTATTAGAAAGAGAGAAAGAGAGAGAGAGAACCCAAGCAGGGGAGGAGGGGCGGAGGGAGAGGGAGACCCGCTGACCAGTGAGCCTGACATTGAGGCTCCATCCCAGGGCTCCGGGACCAGGACTCCAGATGAAGGCAGATGCTTAACTGACTGAGCCACCCAGGCGCTCCCCACCCCCCATTTAATTTTTCTTTTTGGGCTTTTACATTTTAGCTTTAGTCCACAACCCCAGAATTCAGAAGAACAAACACTATTTGAAAGAGAAAAAACTGAACACTTAATGCATTTTGCTTAGAGGGCCTTTTAGTTTCTGATAGTGTTCTGTGTTGCTTAACTATATTGATAGCAAATGGTGATAGGTTTCTTTTGCACCTATTTGAGAATTTGTGCAGTGAGATGAAATAGTGCAGCCTTGTAAGCATATTATTGTTGGAGTCTATGCCATGGACTACATTTTATATGAGAGAGTGAAGCTAGATACTTTGGTATTTAAGTCATTGAGCTCTTAATAGACAATATTGTGGGCTGCATTATACTAAATTTCACTTGTGGCAAACTTATTTTATTTGTAAGATTGTGCTTTCAATTTTAATTTTGAATATGTGGTCTTTGGTACTGCAGGTTACTTTTGGAAAAAGGACATTGCCCTGTACTAAACTGTATAATGCTTTGTATAGAATACATATGAATGCTTCACACCTTGAAGCAGTGTTGTCATAGAGTTATGTAATTAAATTTTTAAAAAATCTCTAATTTTTTTCACACCACTGAGTCACTGTTGTGCATGAATCTCATGATTCTGTATTAAAACTTGTTTTGATTAATGACTCATACAAAATAATTTTTGCTTTTTTCCTCTGAATAGCACAAGCATAACATAAATTATGACTAATTACAATATATATGCTTTAGACTTTTTTGTTGTAGAAGATATATATTTTATACATGGATATATTTATGTTTGTGTATATACATGTGTACATATGTGTGTATAAAGTGGAAATGTTAGAAATTACTGAAAAACGTATGGGAAGAAGTCACTTATAATGCCAACATTCAGTATCTGCCTCTGCTTTCTCATTCTGCTTTACTTATTTTGGCTTTTTTTTTTTTTTTAGATGTATTTACTATTCATGAGAGAGACAGAGAGAGAGGCAGACACATAGGCAGAGGAAGAAGCAGGCTCCCTGTGGGGAGCCAATGTGGGACTCATCGGCAAGTGAGTCCCAGGCAGGACCCCGGGATCATGACCTGAGCCAAAGGCAGATGTTCAACCACCGAGCCACCCAGGCGCCCCTTATTTTGGATTTTTAATATGACTAATTCTTCTGGTTTATGAATAGTGACTGACCTAACCAGTAAAACTTGAACCTATACATACTGTTATTTTGCTTGATGTGGGTTCATATGAGGCAGGGACAAAATAGGGTATTGAGATATTTCTGGATGTTTTTAATTGTAGAATAACTTAGTAATGTAGTCTAAATAGCCATTTTCATGGACACCTTCAGTCAGGAAGTCAGTTATTTAATAAGGGTATATTTTGTGCCAGGCATACTGCCTTGGACTCTGTCACCAGTTCCTTGGCTCTTTGCTTCCCTGTGAAATTTTAAAGTCACCGTTCTAGGCCGGGCCCATACTTAGACAACTTAAAACTGTATAGGTTATAACTGCTCAGTCCCTTTGCTTCCATTTTCTCCTTTTTTTTTTTTTTTTTTTTAAGATTTTTTATTTACTTATTCGAGAGAGGCAGAGACACAGGCAGAGGGAGAAACAGGTTCTCTGTGGGGAGCCCAATGCAGGACTCAATCCCAGGACCCCAGGATTACGACCTGAGCCAAAGGCAGACACTCAACCACTGAGCCACCCAGGCATCCTGCTTACATTTTCTCCTTATTTCAATCCATGGAAAGTTACCAGTGACATTCTTCCAGCGGTGTTCTCATGTTCTGTTCATAAAGCTCACAGTGGCTTAGGTGACTTTAGACTTGCAGGATGCCACACAGCTGGCTCTTTCCACTTCACCAACTAGGTTTGTTACTTGCTGTTACAATCCATGCTGTAGCTGGGAAAATGTGCACAGGATTTATCCCTCTGCTTTTGCTCATGTATTTTCTTTACCTGGAATTTTCTTTCTTCTCTTTTCTGTCTGGCAGTTCATGCCCCTGTTTTCCCTCAAAATCTCAAGACACCTTCTTTGACTTGCTGTACACCTGCTGCTAACATGTTGTCCTTTTATATTTGTGCGAATGTCAGTTTTCTTTTTCTTTTTAAGATTTTATTTATTCATGAGAGACACAGAGAGAGAGAGGCAGAGGGAGAAGCAGGTTCCCCTTAGGGAGCCCGATGTAGGACTCGATCCATGAACTCCAGGATCATGCCCTGAGCCAAAAGCAGGGCGCAACCGCTGAGCCATCCAGGTGTCCCCATTTTTCAACTGATTAATATCAGGGCCTTCCGTCCATTCTATTTTCTCCCCCCGCGTCATCCCCTACTGTTTTGGAAACCTAAATTAATTCAATTTAAGCCAATATAGGCACAGGTATTTTTCAGAGCAGGGAAGTTGAGGCTCCGTAGGAAGGTGTGCTGATTATGGCATGCCTTAGCCAGGCTGATGTCACTCCAGAATTCAGTACATCCGAAAGGTGACAGAATAACTTAACCTCTTAAAAACAACAACCAGATAGCAAATAGGAGCACCATCCTCTTACGCTTCCATTTTTGAGCAAGTGTTTTCAGGAAAAAAATATTTTTTTGACTCCTGGGTATTTATTTTATCCTGTGGATTATATTAGTATTTATTTTGCTATTCAAATTGGGAAATCCTTTTTAAAATATGAACCAGTAGAACTGGGAGCTAAGATAAGGGGCCTGTAGTTAAGTTTTCTGCTCTGCTTTTTCTTCTCTTTGAAGGTCCTTGGGATGGTCTTGTGCTGAAATGACAAGAGAACTAGTGACTCCCCAGGGAGGATGGTACAGGAAGATGGGGAGAGCTGGGCAGGGACGCTGCAGGCACAGGTGTCTGTCAGAACCTGCCAGTCGGACTTTTGATGAAGACTGCTTCGTCCACATGTGCAGAGCTTCCTTCCTGCTTTAAAAATCTGAGCAATAGATTACAAAATAATTCAGATCTTGTTCATTTTCTAAGCAAACCTAATGTGGAAACATTGAGAATTTGTGTCTTCCTTTGAAGTTTAGAGATGGGTTTTACCTTTAGCACCTAGATCATCAAAATGCTTCTTAGCTCATGAGAATGGAAGATACTAAGTTCATCATCTCTACTCAGTATAGCCATGTGTGAAACCCGGAGAAGATTTCTCTCTCTCTCCTCTGAAATAAAACTCTTGATTTTACAGTAAGGAAAGATTTCCAAGGTTGATAAGGTACCTGACTCTATGGATGACTGTCTCAAAGCAGTCTGGAGCAGTCGTGGGCACTCTTTATCTTTATAATAGCAACCCTTATCAGGGGCCGTGGCCCTACTCCTTTTCCCCCACCCCCGCCCCACCTCCCACGGAACAGAAAGTGGATTCATGATAAGGGTTTAAGGAGACAAGAAGAGGCTTGGTTATCATGAAGGAAGAGATGAAAATGAAGCAGAGAGGAGGAGAAGAGTTAGGGGAACAGCAAAGCCTCTTAGAACAAATAAGAACAGCAAAACTATGGTTAGGTGATGGTATGGAGCCAAATTATGGGAAAAAGATGGACGGTGAAAAGGACAGAATAGAAAAAATAACTCTGGGATGAGGACAGGGAGGACTCTGATTCTTATCATGGCTGCTCGGTCTCCTTGCTGTCCTGTGGTGCTGTGATTCTTCCCCTGGGTCCTGGCCTTGCCACCCACTTTGCCCTATGGTACCGCTTCCTGATATCATTAGCTTCCCAGGCCCCAGAAGGGGAAGCGGGAGGACAGATGCAGTGACTTAAATTAGCACAGCTCAGGAGCCTGGAGTGAACAGTGCTGCCGCCGCCCAGTCTTCCTCTGCCCCTGGCCTCCCTCCCTTTATTTTGTACCTGGTGGAGTAACAAGCCCCAGAGGGGTGCTCCTGCATACTATGGGACAGGCAGAGGGGGAGAAGTCACTGTCATGGAGCAAACCTTGGAAATCCCACACCATAAAAGGAATGATCTGGTACAGTTGCCCTGCTGTTTGTAAGCCCGCTGCCCAGGAGTGACCCATTTTAATTTGTGTGCTGTAGAACACGAACTGTAACTGCCTAACATGATTACTACATGTCCTGTTAAACACCTCACTGACACCCAAGATGCACTGACTGTGACATCATCATGTTCTTAGTGAAATGGTCCTTAAGATGTTAAGTGATCACAGGGCTTCTCCTTTTACAGGTGAGGAAAAAACAGGCTTGGGGAAGGCAAGCGACTCTTGCTATGACATTTTAGTGTCTTTGTGGAGGAGCTGAAATTAGGAACAAGATCTCCTGAATCCTCTCCTGAGTCCTCTGGTCCACTGTGGTCCACTGTGGTTGTTTTTAAAAACAATACACCATAAAATCTTAGTTGTTTCTATATTCCCAGATTTGTTTTTGATGTCAAGGGGCAAAGAAAATCAGCAGGCCTAGATGGAAGTGATGGGCAGAGAGAAGCCTGTCGTGGAGGTTTTCTGTGATTGTAGAGTCCTGCAGCTCCTGCTTTTACCATGAGTGTTGCTGAGCAAGGGGCCTGCAGCACCCGAGGCCTGGCTGCTGTCCCAATCTTGAGGCCCCAGAGTTATTTTTAGCCTCAGGGCCTTGGAAGCAGGTGTGGTCCAGGCTTGAAGGCCATGCCTGGAATGTGTTCAAGTCTTGTTGTGCATGTCTATTTAGGAGCTCAGAATAGTGACGAGGCTTCTGTATATACTTGGTTAAAAGAATTTGTGCTTTTCCAGTGAGAGGGATGAAAGTCATACTGGGTTTCATTTGTGATGCTTTAAGCAGGTTTATTTTTGAAACTACAAATTGAGATACGTTTTAAGAGTGTTAGGGAATATATTAATTTTAAAAAGAAAAGTAGCTATAAAATCTTGGTGTATAGAAGAAAGCTTTTGTATTAAGAGTCATACCCCAACTGAACTACTGAAAGTCCAGGTTTGTAGTCCTAAGTGTGTGATTTAAAAATTTAATTTTTCTTGTCTCTCTCCTCCTGCCAACATTATTGGTATTGAAAATAATTGTTTGTAAGTTCTTTTGTGAAGTAAAAATGCAGCTTTTACCTTGGGTAAACATCAATTTTCCTGAATTGTATTTTTATTTTTTTAAGATTTTATTTATTCATGAGAGACACACACAGAGGAGCAGAGGGAGAAGCAGTCTCCTTGCAGGGAGCCCGACGTGGGACTGGATCCCCTGACCAGGATCACGCCCTGAGCGTGAAGGCAGACGCTCAACCCCTGAGCTATGCAGGCGTCCCCCTGTATTGTATTTGTTCATCTTTTTACCTTTCTTGAACTCACACTTTTCTTAATGGTCCTGACGAGGAGCAATGTAGGCAAAGCCACTGGAGCCACTTTAGTGGTCTGAGTGTGTGTCATGCCCTTTTTCTGAGACTTTTTTGTACTTCCCAAGATTGTGGAAAAGAATATAAATATTGCCTTAGTTAGCCAGCAAACTATTGTGACAGTTTGAATGTGTCCCATCACATGTGCATGTGTGTATATAGGTGTTTTTGCAATTCTGTTTAATCTATTGTTTTGTAACTTGATTTTATTTTCTTCATTTATCAGGACCATCTTTCACTATCAAGAGGTATGCTTTTATACCATCATTTAAGAATGTTGCATGACACTGTGTTTTGTAGGATTTATTATAATTTGTAAGGTTGTTCCCCTTCTGTTGAACATATAGGCTTTTCCCAGTATTTTTCGTATGTGTTTTAACTGAAAGGTGAAAGTGTTTCTTGTAAGTCACTTTGAAAATATCCTTGTAAGCCATTTTGAAATTATCTTCAGGAGAATATAATTTGACATTCTGTTTTACTTATTTTAGTATTGAGAGATTTAAATTGATAACATTCCCAGATATTGCTATTACAAACTCGGGCTCAAGTGGGGGTGATGGCAGGTTTGGTATTGATGATTTCTAGTTGTTTTCCATTGCTTGTTCCTAGTACCTTCTGATCTTCTTTGGAAAAATTAAATTATACCCTCTCTTCCACTAGATTGGGTTCCACATTGTCCAGATGTCTACACTGGTCATAATATTGTTGGTAATTTCACTCTTTGTCAGGAAAGCACACCTTATCTTTAATGTAGTGGAATTTTGTTGTATTGGGGGTGGAGTGGACATGGATAAAGGTTATAAGCTTACATTAGTGTTACCAATCCCTTGAGTAAGTAACCTAACTTACAGAGCCCTTGTGGGAAGTGTTTGATATACCTTCTGACAGGGAGAACACATTTTTAAAAAATTTTAATTTAAAGATCCTTTAAGCTGCTTCCTTCTTGTCTAGATGTGTTCAGGCACACATCTTACTTCACATGTCTTTGATATTTTACTACATTTTGTGCTACATCTGCTACATGCTACATTCTGTGCTCTAAAACCAAGATTTCATTATTAAGTACAACACATTTGTGGAATTAGAAGAATTGTATTAAATTGATATTAATAGTAATCTTCCTTGTTACAGTCTTTTCATACAGAACTTTCTTTTTATTCATGTGCTAAGGAGTGCACTAATAGAGGAACCTCAGCTTCTCCCTTTGCAATTTTAGGAAGAAACGATACTGAACTTGTGTATGTGTGTGTGTATTTCACACTGAAGTTAAATGTGTGAGTGCCTGGAAATGCTTCATTTCCAATAGATAAAACCATCTTTCTGAAGAAAGAGGGAGCACCTGCCACATCCGCTCTGAGCACTTGCCCACTTCCATGTTACCTTGGCCAGCACTGTATTCATTGGCCTCGGGCCTTTGATGTAGAGAACCACAGTCTTCCTGGTGTCCACATAGCTCACTCTCACCTCCTCATGGTTTGTCCTTCACCAGCATAGTAAGATCTTCTCTGAATACTGTGTTTAAAATTGCCACTACCTATCTCAGCTCTCCTTCTTCCTTCCCTCTTGGTTTTCTCTCCACAGCTCATGCATCATCTATCATACAGCATGTTGTATAGTTGCTATTTGTTACATTTCTCATCGCTGAATTACAAGCTGCAGAGAACAGGAGTTCTTACCTAGCTCATTTTTGCTGCATTTCTCCAGCAGTGCCTAGCCCTCACTAGGTGCCCAACAACTATTCATTAGTTGAGCAAGTAAGTGACAGTCCTGACAGATGCTCAAGGAACAACACCAAGATGTTCATGTTAAAGGTCAGATGAGAGTCTGACCTCTGGTTTTGGTTTGTCCTGAATCTTTCCTCTCCTGCCTCCAGCCCACCTTAATTGCAAATACCTTTCCAAAACATTGTCTCCCTGACTCTCAGATTAAACCACTGATCACTTTTTCTCTTGCCCAGATACTTCATCCAAGGATCCTTCCATTCCCATTCTCTTAAGACCACCTCATATACAGGCCCGTCTTCTAGGGGCAGAGTCCTTAGTTGGGCTGAGGTGCCTGGAGAAAGTATTACATGTTAGAGGGGTAAGCCAGGGAACTATGGGTGCAAGAAGTATGTTTAGAATAGGCACATGGTATGGTGGAAAGAGGGGAGGAGGAGGGGAGGTCTGATGGGTCAGGGAAGGGGAAGCTAGTGAGACAGGTGAGCAGAAACAGGAAGATGGAGACTCCAGCTGAGCCAATACCAGGAGTATGGTGCTTTTCTTGAGCAGAAACTTGAGGTTTCTGAAATCCGGACTATACCTGGGCTAGCTTGTAACTGAAGCAAAGGCAGTATATTTAGTCTTTGAAGCATGGCTGCTCTTCCAGCCTTTCTCTGTGGGTCCTTGAGTTATATATAATCAACCTACACCTCTGATTGATTGTAGGTTCTCTCAATGGTGCTGTAAGTCGGTGAGAGATGGCTGGATTTTATGATGCTAACAAGTGCTGTCTCTATGTCCAGTACTATCTAGACACTTGGGCTTCAAGCAGTCTATCCCATTATTGCTGCCACTTGTCAAAATGTGTCCTCTATTTTGGGGTCAAGACATTAATAGGCAACTAAAAACACATTAAGCTTATATAGTCTTCTTGGTTTTGGTGAGGGTGTTTTTTGTTTGTTTTTCATTTTTTTATTGAATATATTTTACCAAATATCAGACTTCAGAATTTCTGTTTAGGATTTACCCACAGCATTTGAGGTAAAGTTGCTTTAAATCAGTATAGATGGCCTAAGTCAAATATGTTCTTGCTTGTTTCCAGATGTTGTAGCCTGCTTTTTTCCCTTTTGATTTGTTCAGTTTTTCTGTTACTGAAAGTCTATGTTTAAGGCTCTGCCTGAAGGCTGTTTAGTGTATCTTGTTGCCTATTTCTTTAGTTTTATTGGAGGAAAAAAAATTTTAAGACTGGCATGTAGTTTAATAAAAGCAAACTTCTCACCTGACTATATCCTTTCCATAAATTCTCTGAGAACTTGAACTTGAGCCTAACCAAATAAAGCTCAGTCACTTTCCTTGCTAAACAGGTGCTTAAGCACCCCATAGTCAGAGGATCCTTTTCCTTCTGAGATTTCTTTGTGAAAGGAAGTATTCAAAATGGAAATTTGCCTCTCTCTGATGGGGAGCCCCTGCCTCCCCATAGGTCCCACCTTTCAGGCCAGAGGGCATATTCCTAGAGTCCTACCCCTTACCTGCTTGTTGAAGGCCTTGATGTGGGCCTGAGGGCTGCAGTGCCTGGTGACAGAGGAGCTGTTGCTGTTGGCAGAAAATAACCAGTGGGTAGGTAGAAGGGGGAAATGGTGTGTGAGAAAGGTTCTCCCTTTTTTCCTGATGGGAAATACAAAGCTTCAGTACGACTGACCTGGAAGTCATGATCTTACCTGGGAAGTTGAAAAAAGTAACACCTTTTCTGATAAGAGGAGGGAGATGCTTCATGGAACCATGGGGTCATTTTAAAACAACCTTAATCCTTAAAGAATTTTCTGTTGGGGGCACTAGCTTTAAGGCTGTGTTAGGAGTAGTGAAGAAAATCAAAAGAAACAAATTTTCCTTTTAGTTAATTACTTTAGAGGCAAATACTGTTTTTTGTATAGTCAGACTGTACATTGTACTTTTAATTAAAACCGACTCCACTTGTTAACCTTATCATTAAGATAGGCTTATGGATCCTCTGATATAACTAATTCAGTAGTACCCTTTATTTCATTGATACTCTTGCATGGTAGAGTGAATTTCAACAAATAAAACTCCACTAATTTCCATGATAAAATCAAAGATAAATTTCCATAGGTAACCAAATGAAATATAAAACATGAAACAAATTACACACAAACTTTAAAAATTGTATATTAAAGGGAGAAGGTTCATATGTTAATATTAAAATATAAAGCAAATTGGTAAAATGTAAAATATGCCAAAAATGGCATTTCTTAAGGGGATTTGGCCATTTTGTTTACTGACCTGTATAGTCATTCTGTTACACTAAAATGTTGCCTCAGCCAGTCTCTTTCCCTTCATAAATAAAGTTTTTTAAAACCTTCATTTCTGAAAATGGATTAATTTGCAAATATTTGTTTAGTGGCTCTGGTTAAAGTTACTAGTCTTTGGCATGATAAATACTGGTTTCTTGACCTTTTTAAAATTTTTTTATTTTTTTAGAAATAGAAAACTTTATTATACACATAGAAAAAGGGTTCTTTAGTTGTCTTCTGAAGGGCCTACCGCCAACCAGATTTCCTTGATTGTAGACTGGGGCACCCCATCAATTTCCTCAGAAGAGTCTTCCCACTGCTCTGGCCACCTGCCTCATCTCCTGGGAGTTGGGGGTGGTCCCCCCACAGCCAAGAGGACAATGGGAAAAAAATCAAATTGTAGTATTTTAAGTGAAAGAAAAAATCAGGGTGCACAAGTGTATATCCATATAACTCATTGAACAAAGGGGGGAAAGGGAAGACTATATATTTGTATCTTATTCTGTATTCATTTAAAAAAAAAAATCTTTGGAAGAAGTCAGAAGAAACTATTCACCCTGGTTTCCAGTAGAGGGCAGGGGGAGGACCTGGGCAGCAGAAGATTTTGAGTGTATTCATGTTTTTCACTTAATATATTTGTTGGAGTTTTGATATTGTGGCAATTTTTAATAGCTTTGTTGAAGTATAATAAGCATACAATAAACTGTACATATTCATAGTTTGTATACATTTTTAAACCAGTGAATATGTTACCTATTGAAAATGGAAAGAAGAGGGGCGCCTGGCTAGCTTAGCAGTGTGTGTGACTCTTGATCTCAGACTCATGAGTTTGAGACCCACATTGGATGTGGAGATTACTTAAAAAAATAAAATCTTAAAAAGGAAGGAAAATACTTAAAAATTTAAAAATCGTTTAAGTAAACTGATAAATAATAAAGCTGGTCTGCCCTGGGTTTTGTAAGATGCATTTGGGCCCTTACAGTCCAATCTAAGAATGTTTATTCCTCTTGACTTCTTGTAGAAATTTTGGGTAAGATGAACTTGGTGGATTTGCCAACAATAAAATGTTCTTTTGTCATCTTCTAAATCTTACTGTTGCAAATGTTTTCAAAAACAAAACTATCACAGACATTTTCCTGATCTCAAGGTATTGACTTTCTTCAGAATGACCAGGGGAATGCCCAGAAATTTCTAAGTTAGAGTTGCATCCTAGGATGAGACTTAACCAAAATCCTCTAGCTATAAATAAAGTTTAAGGCTATTGTTTTCCTACCCTCCCTCACCCCTTTGGTAGGGCTCTGCCTCTCACATAATCTATTTGAGACTACAGAAAATCAGAGCTTGGGCGTAAAGGTAGGCTGGCCTCAGTACATGAAAGGGTGTAACTTTATCCAGATTTCACATTCGGTGCTTTGTTTCAATTACATCCTCATATTAAGGTCACTTTGCCCAGACCTTTTCTTGGTCAGGGGAAGGGTTTTTAGTCTGGAAGTCCTGACTCTGGCTCCGTGGGTAAGCATGGCCATATTCTGCCCAGTAGAACTGTTTGCTCTAGCTTATCTTTGGTTTCGGTGATTTGGGCTTAGGAGGTTTGGCTAAAGGGAAGCAAAGATGAGAACTTTCTAATTCAACTTTTGCATGTTTGCTGTCTTCTCCCTCTCTTTGTCCCTTGATCTGCTAACCCAGATAACTGCTTTGTCCCATCCGGATTTTATCATTGAGAGGAGCCAATCAGACTCGGATACCAAGTGCCATTGTTGGAATCAACTTGCTCTTGTTCTCAAATTTCCACTTTCTGTGCCACCTGGGCATCCTCATGGACAAGTCGACCCATTCTTTCTCAGTCCAGTTTCATTATGGGAACAGCTACTTAGGAAAAGCAGGGTAACCCAGTAGTGGGAGCCCTGGTTTGGGAATCAGATGATCTGGCTACAGGACCTTACACTGCTGTGAACTATGTCACTGAGCAGTCAGGACTCAATTTGATGCTGTATCCTTGGTAGACACCTTTCCAGAGTACATTTGTTGATTAACTAGGACAGATTCTCTGTTCTAGTTTCTTCCATTGAAGATAGAGATGATTTTTGTCCCTCGTTGCCAGTAAGCTATACTAAAATGAATACGTTAATATAATGAAGACAAGAACTAGACAAATAGTGTATTCTGTGGAGCTGATTTGTAAGGTGCGGGGCAGAAGAGACGATTTCTCAGGTGCCTTCTAACTCCGTGTGTCTCTGGCTCTGAGAGAAAGGGCACAGCTCTCTTGAAGCTGGATTATATGGGAAGGTGGAATGACTGCTGTGTTTATCTGCTGAATGTCTTAGATTCCAGATGCAGGGCAGCTCTGTCCACCATTGGTATCTGTAGAGCGGTTTTCCTCCTTTCTCTATATGTTGAGTAGTTGCATTTTTCCTTACTTTAGAGAACTTCGACAGTTTTGTCCTCCAAACAGACTTTGTGAGGAGACAAGGCCTATGTTATGTCTACATTTTATAGAAGAGGAAATTGTGGGTCAGAGAAGTGATATGATTTTCTACCATTAAGTAACAAGTAAATGGCATGGCCACTCCTCTTGGTCTCCTTTCTCTACTTCTCCAGGCTTCAGTTTCTCGTCTATAAGTCTGAAATTAGGAATAGGACCCAGTGCTGTCTGAAGGTTTTCCATCCTGATCGGAAATGAGTTAGGTATTTAGTCAGTATCTTAAGTAATTTGTGGAGGATTTTACATATAACAGTGTGAATTGAGTATCTTTGTGCAAAGCACTATGGAGATAGGAAATAAAATTAAAACCTCTGCCATCACATACTTTACCCTATAGAAGGTGAATGCCAGCAGTGGACATCTAGTGCGACGTGGTAGAGGGTTTCCTGTGGGCAGAGATGGGCCAGTGAGCTAAAAATATGAGAATATTGAAGGTCAGGGTGAGGTCCAAGCTATAGGCACAAAACTCCTAACTAGTGTCAATTAGGAAGTGGTCAGTTATAGGAGTTTGGCAAGAACAGGGAAGCACTGGGTCTGGTACAAAGGGTTCTGCATGTTTGCTGTATGGTTGTTGACCTAGAGACCCAGGTGAAGATAGGAGATTTTCTAAGGCTGGGAATCAGTGATTCTCTGAAGAATGAGGCACGAGAAGATGAGGGGTAAACCTATTAAGGGTCAAGGAACAGGGCTGGGGTGGAAGATGGACTGTCTTGGTTGGAGCTGGGTACATCACATGCCGCCAGCAGTTAGCTCAGCAGTTGGTCTCACAAGAATATCAGCCATTTTCTTTTTCCTCTTCCTTAAAACAGAGATGAAATGTATGAAAAGTTTACAGGGGCTAAGGACAATTTACAGGGGCTGCTATTGTGCCCGTGTGTGTGTGTGTGTGTGTGTGTGTGTGTGTGTGTGTGTACACACATATGTGTGTTTGCTTGCAGTTCTCAAGCAGAAAAGATTTTTTTGTCCTGATCTTGTGGGCTTGCTTACCTGGTTGTAGGCTGTTGTTCTTTGTGCTCTTTTCAAGAAATTAGCAAATAAAATGAAAGAAACCCATTTGGAAAAAAAATATTACTTCAAGCAGCTTTTTATACCTCTTTCAATCTCATACTATAAGCATGTAGTTCGGGCCGCAGGTCATTATAATTCATGACTGTGTCTTCTTTGAGTTTTTATATTTTGATATAAAAGTGAATTATCATCAGTAGGTTTCCTGAAGCCATGCCTGTTTGTCTTTTTTGTTTGTTCAAATGAAACAGTGCATCAAGTATGGAATTAGATTAATGGAGTAAATATTATGAATCATACGCTCTCTCTAATCTGATGCTTTCTTTTTTTTTGACCCCATGTTTTGTTTTCTGTTTGTCTTTCTCTCTTCATGTAGGATTTTTGAGTCCAGTGTAAAGCTGTTGGAGCGAGGAGCAAAGGTAAAGAATGATGTAATGCACTGGCTGCCCCAAAGCATCTTTTGTTGTGGAATGGTTATTTCAGTCATCTCTTTATGAATCAAATGTGAGGGACTGCTTTGTGGAAGGAGTCCTTTGCAAGAGCACATCAACGGGGAAAGAGAAAGGGACATTCACTTGGAGGGCTCTTGCTGAAAATGGGTTTAACTCTCCTTTTGCCAGTCACCACCAGCCTGACCTCATACATTTTTAGTACAATGGAGTGGCTGAGCCTTTGAGTACACCACCATTACATCATCGTGGCAAATTAAAGAAGGAGGTGGGAAAAGAAGACTTATTGTTGTCATGGCCCATGAGATGATTGGAACTCAAATTGTTACTGAGAGGTTGGTGGCTCTGTTGGAAAGTGGAACAGAGAAAGTGCTGCTAATTGATAGCCGGCCATTTGTGGAATACAATACATCCCACATTTTGGAAGCCATTAATATCAACTGCTCCAAGCTTATGAAGCGAAGGTTGCAACAAGACAAAGTGTTAATTACAGAGCTCATCCAGCATTCGGCAAAACATAAGGTAAACGCTTTCTTTTTTCCTTTTTAGAATCAATAGACATCCTAGATGAGGCATCATTTTAAAACAGTCTCACTTTTAAGGGGAAAAAGTAATTTGAGGAAGTTTTGGTAGCTTTTTAAACTTTGGTACCTTAGGGATACCTCAAAGTAATTTACTAACCACACTGTCACATTTAAGAATTTTTCTAAACATATAGAAAGGTTAACTTGTTTTAATTTAGTCAAGTGCTATGTTTTCCTATTAATAGTTTGCTAAACTTTTTTTAAAAATTTAAACACCAGTAAAGGTTTATAGTTGATAACATATTAGTAACTTAATATATAGTAACTTATACACGTATCAACAATTACTAAATTAATACATTATTCTGTGTTATTTACAATTTACTGAAAGGAGATAATTCTTTTCAAGTGCCTTGGGAAGAAAGTGGAAACTAATTATATTAGAAGTGCTATTTATTTGTGGGAAGGTACCATTGTTTAGGATTTAGGGATCTTATTTATCTTTGAGGAATATTATTTCTGGAATTCCATAATGTCTTTGTGGTAGGTAAGGCTATTTCTTTTCTTCAGGAATAAAAATGAGCTCATGTTTTAATTTTACCAAACAACTGATTTCTCTATTATGCAGAAACCCTTATAATAATGTTTAAGTTCAAGGATTGCTATGTTTATTTTACATATTTTGTTTTATGAATTTTAGCCTTTTATAGCATTGTGTTTTAAACCAAGGAGTTTTGAGCACATCTACACAGAAATAACATCAATTTTGCCTCTTGAAAGTTGATTTTTATAAGCATTTAAACCATTTTGTATGTTAGGTTTACCCATCAGTTTTGCTGCATGTCATTTTTATTTGGATTATTAATTGAGAGAGGGAGGCAGTTATTTGCTTCAGTACCAGCGGCTTCTGGGATGATTTTTTTTCCAGCTTCCTTAACAGCCTCACATTTGCACTACAGGTTGATATCGATTGCAGTCAGAAGGTTGTAGTTTATGATCAAAGCTCCCAAGATGTTGCCTCTCTGTCTTCTGACTGTTTTCTCACTGTACTTCTGGGTAAACTGGAGAAGAGCTTCAACTCCGTTCACCTGCTTGCAGGTAAGGCTTGGGGCAGATCTCGTGGAGATCTACCAGTAAGCGGTATTTCACAGAGAGCTCAAAGTACACTAGATCATCACCCAACGATGAGTGTACCGGGTAAACTGATTTATTGATAGCTTCTGATCAACATAACTATTCTATTTCACTTAAGTACTACCATTCTTCCACGGTTGTCAATGTATTTTTTACTCAGCTCAGATGATTCTTCATTTGATATTTGTTAGTTAGAAACGTCATGTAGATCTGTGTGCTGCTTCTGGCCGGGGATTTTTCCATTCGTCTGGGATCTAAAAACACGAAATGCTCTAGCTCTTGACTCTGCTCTCAGTTCCCACCCCCTGTGACAAGAACCAGACCAGCGTCACAGTGTCACATTCATATTAACCAGTTAGAGTTAACAGCAGACTCCAGCAAATCAGCTCACTGTTCCTGGACATGATGAGCAGGGAGGGGGAGAATGTGTATAGGTTATTTCTTCTAACAATTAGGGAGAGAGTTTAAAATACTCATTTAACTTGAATATTTTCGTTTTGTTTCTACAACTGAAAAAGGTCTCAGTTTGCAAATACTAAGAAAGTTATTTTAAATCATTTTATATTTATGGGAAGAACTAAATATTTTATGTCTGTCTGAAAAGGGGAGCAAGTGTGTGAGTTCCATTTCATCAAATTCCAAAGCAGAGTGTTCATCCTTTGCTTCCCCTGTTTTGCAGATGTTACTAAAGCCCTTTCACTCACACAGGCTCACAGAGTGGGGGATACAGTGTGACGATGCACGGTGACCTTCAACACAGATTCTGCCACAGGAAAAGGCAAGAGGGCTTTTACAAATGTGATCTAAGAAAACAGAACATGATAGATGCTATCATTTTCACACCTGCAGTCTTTTATTGCAAGGCAGGTACTGTGAACTCGATGTCATCGGCAGTTGGTTGCTAGGAGTATAAACATTGCATTTTTCAGAGTAGGATTAATCGTTTGTTGGTGTGTTAACACTTAAACTGGGAAGGTTTTGATGAGATTTCCGTACCTCCAGTTCTCGCTCATCGGCTTTTGCTTCCAGTCTCAAAAAGCAGGCAGAGTTTTCCTCTTTCAGATCATCTACTACCACACCTTTTGCTCATGCTGTGATGCCGCCAGATCTTTCTGTTAGTATCCTTTTTTTTTTAAGATTTTATTTATTTATTCATGAGAGAGAGAGGCAGAGACACAGGCAGAGGGAGAAGCAGGCTCCATGCAAGGATCCCGATGTGGGACTCGATCCCAGGTCTCCAGGATCACACCCCGGGCCGAAGGCAGTGCCAAACCGCTGAGCCACCTGAGCTGCCCCTCTATTAGTATCCTTAAGTGAAGCTGGCATGTCTTAGAAAGTAGTTTTCAGAGTTCTTTGAGAATGATAGTAGTAGGCTCTGTCTCATTGATAGGCACATTCTTTTACTGTGAGTATAACTGTGGTGAATATGATAACTATTATTGGCATTTACTGAACAAATCTGGTTTAGGAACTCCTTTCATGCTTCTTGTAGGCACTGTGAGGGCTTTACCGTGGTATGCTGTTAACAGGACCAAGGTTTTTCTTAAAAGAGGGTACACCAAGATGTGCTTCACGGCAAAGGGACTATCCCACCTCCCTCTTGTTGGAGACATTTTTGCTGTGGGGGCTCTGACTTGACAGCGTGGCCAGACGCTCCTATGTAGGAATGAGCTTGTGTTGGGTTTCTAGTACAGAAGTTTTATTTCCCGGAATATCTTTCCCCCCCTTTAACAAAGAGCTCTCCTTAGTTATGTGGGAAGGTTCTTATCAGTCATGTGTCATTGTGGGAGGAGCACTCCTTGGGCAAGGAAGAGAAAGGACTCTGATCAGCTAGATCAGCCTGAGAGTGGAATGACACACTGAATCAGAGCACCTTGACATTACCACGTCATACAGGACATGTTGCCTGGGTCCAAATGAGAATCCTTCCAGGCAGCACCAAGAACCACGCTGAATGTATTGACAGCACCATATCCCTATCCACACTACAGAATCCTATATATCTTTTAGTTTAGGAGGTGGCTTTGGGGACTAGATTGCCTTGTCTGGGAGTTTCTGAACAGCCAGATCTCTTATGATACCCAAGAGAGGGTTCTGGACGGTTGAAAGCCTCCCTCCCAATCACCCAGAAATTTCTGACCAATTGGAAATTCCCTTGTCTACTCCTCAGAGTAGACAGAAAAATGGCATAAGTGGAAGAGAATGCCAGGGAAGTTATAACCATTCATACTTGGTAGCCTGTTTTGTTGCCAAGGCCCAGCTGCTCATAGGATATTCCACGGATGGGAGACAGAAGGACATAATGACAGGTGTTTCTTCAATATTTTGTTTGTGGGGGGAATAACTGTGGAAAAGCACACCAGCTTCTCACAGGTGCTACAGAAAATAATAAGATAACTGGAGACAGTTTTCACTACAAACTGCCCGCGTTACTTTCAGCAGTTGGAGATGGTTGTCCATCCTCAGGTGAATGTGGTAATAGAGAGATGTGGTGGTTTCTTAGAGTGATTCCTCCTTTGGGTTAGAGCTTTCAGCTACTCTGACATTATTCAGGATGAAAGTATCAGATGTGAGATAGTTTTTATGGTCATTAGATATGGAAGTAAAAAAATTGTGGCCTGAATTCCATTCACATTCTCGGGCTACCTTGCCTGGGGGAAAATGACTTTGGAGAAGGGGAACAGAAAGACATCACCAGGGAACTGATAGAAGAAATATTTTAATGAGCTATCTCCCTCCAACAAGAGGAGACCCATATCTACCTATAGGACATAGTTTTATGGACATAAAGAAATGCAGGGTTTTACTGAAGGAAGCAGGGACTGGGTTTGGGGGAACTATACTGGAATGGGCTTAGATTCCTTAAAACAGTGCAGGTCCTGTTTGGGGATGGGACTAGCCTATAACACTTGTTTCCACCAGGTGACCAGCTTTCCCGAACTCTTCTAAGCCCAGTCAGTGTTCCCAACAAAATGATTAATTTAATAGCCATATATTATCTTTAATTATTATCTAAAAATCTTGTTTAAATCTTACTATTTATCTTTTCATTTATTAGCTTAACTTCCTACCAGATTCTCTTTTTCAACTTTGTGTCCCCTGTAAGGCCCAGCACTTCTTAACATCTCAGTAAATATTTGATATCTAAATTAGCTTACATTGGGTTTGTCCGATTTATATTTCATGTGATTCATTTTATTAGTGTAAAACATAAGTAATTAAACAGTGATGGAACTAACCTGAAAGTGTAGTGAAAACTTTGAGATTGTTTTGAACTAAGTGATCTACAAAGTATATTCATTCAGAGCAAACATATAGCTGTTAATAGGAAAAGTGTCTAATATAAAAATGTCTTAAGAGCAAATAAAAATACTGTGATGAAATAAGATGAATCTTTTTTTTTTAAGATTTTATTTATTCATTCATGAGAGACACACAGAGAGAGACAGAGACAGAGGCGGAGGGAGAAGCAGGCTCCATGTAGGGAGCCTGATGTGGGACTTGATCCTGGGATTCCAGGATCACGCCCTGGGCTGAAGGTGGCACTAAACTGCTGAGCCACCCGGGCTGCCCCGAAATAGGATGAATCTTATGTGATCCTTAAATACTGAACTTTCATAGAAAAGCTAACAGCTCTAGAGATCTAGCTCTACTCATAGGAAGATACACGTCCATGAGTCCACATAAACTGAGAATGGTTGTGATAATTTCTATATATATATTCTTAAAGGTGAATATAAATTGATATTCTTTTTAGCCATTAGGAAGCCTCCCAATAACCAGGCTGACCCAAACCATAGCATCGTTTCACCCCCAGGGGAGTAAAGGGTTTAATTACCAGTAGCAGCCTCATCTGAGGAAGAAAGAATGAATTTGGATCCCTTTGGGAAGATGTCCATCATCGTTGGATAGGTGATGACAAAACCATCTTTTTCATTTTTTTTCAATTTTGAAATCCGTTTTTAAATAAGTACAGACTAAAAAGCCATGTATCTTCCCACAGCCATCTGTAAAAACAGGACTTAAGAATTTGAATTAATGGAGTGATGGAATGGATGACATAAACATTTGTTTCACAAAAATGATCATAACAGAGTATCCTGGTTGTGAGCCTTGTTAGTTTAGTTGATGCATGTGAAACCTCTGTATCAGCTGTCTTCTTTTAAAAGCTGTTATGTTATCCAGGGCGCCTGGGTGGCTCAGTTGGTTAAGTGTCTGCCTTTGGCTCAGGTCATGATCCCAGAGTCCTGGGATCAAGCCTTGCATTGGGCTCCCCACTCACAGAGGAGTCTCCTCCCTCTCCCTCTGACCCTCCCCCATCCCACTCTTGCATTCTCTCTCTCTTTCTGCTCTCCCCCTCTCTCTCTCAAACAAATAAATAAAATCTTTAAAAAAATTTTAAAAGCTGTTCTCAATCTGAGTTAGAAAACAAATAGTTGCCACCATTGACTTACTGATCAACTTCTTTGGTCTTGATAATGTTCAGAAAACTAGTTCTCTTTAAAAATTAATCTTGTTTCTTGGCCTTAACTTATTCATTGTGTACCACTTTATTCTACTTGCCTTTCTCTATTATATTTCTTAGGGTTCCAGATTGCACATAAATCTAAAAGAGAAAAGGAAAAATACCAAAGTTGGACTTTTACTTCTTGCCAAAATAGAGAAAAGAGAATAGATGGGTCATTAGAAGAAATAAAGATCAACTTACAGATGAGAAATACTGTTCTGTTATTTCCCTCTCTTTCCTCACCTTTGTGTTCTGGGTAAAAGCAAAAAGGACCCATAGCAGTTTATTAAGTCTGCAGCACTCGTTTCTCTCCTGTGATGAGGCACAGGATAACTAGCCCTACAGCAAAACACCACATATGACACACTTCAGCCCTTTCATTGGCAGATGAGGAAAATCACAGAGCCCTGAGCGACTCTCCCACGCTCTCACTCCCACCATGTACCCAAGGCCCTTA